TCACCCCAGAACGGTTCCAGGGTGATTCTGGAACCTGAAACGGTCAGTGTCAAGCTCCCAGAATCACCCCGGAACGGTTCCAGGTGATTCCGGAACCTGAAACGGTGGATTTTGCCTCGGGCGCCAGCCAGAGCTGGGAACCACGATTTCGGGCTTTTCCGGCCTGGATCTCTCCAAAATCATGGTTCCCGCCATCCTCGGGGCCGCCGTGGGACTCCAGGGGCGCCTAGCAGAGCTGGGAAACCACGGATTTCGGGCTTTTCGGGCTGGATCTCTCCCAAAATCATGGTTCCGGCCCTCCTCGGGGCCGCCGTGGGGTCCCAGGGGCGCCAGCCAAGAGCGGAAGAGTTGGGAACCACGATTTGGCGCGACCCGCCTGGATCTCTCCAAAATCGTGGTTCCCGCCATCCTCGGGGCCGCCGTGGGTCCCAGGTGCGCCAGCCAGAGCTGGGAACCGCGATTTCGAGCTTTTCCGGCCTTGATCTCTCCAAAATCGTGGTTCCCGCCATCCTCGGGGCCGCCGTGGGCCCCAGGGGCGCCAGCCAGAGCTGGGAATTACGATTTCGGGCTTTTCCGGCCTGGATCTCTCCAAAATCGTGGTTCCCGCCATCCTCGGGGCCGCCGTGGGCCCCAGGGGCGCGAGCCAGAGCTGGGAACCACGATTTCGGGCTTTTCCGGCCTGGATCTCTCCAAAATCGTGGTTCCCACCATCCTCGGGGCCGCCGTGGCTCCCAGGGGCGCCAGCCAGAGCTGGGAACCACGATTCGGGCTTTTCCGGCCGGGATCTCTCCAAAATCAGGTTTCCCGCCATCCTGGACCGGCTCGGGGCAGACCGGGGTCCCAGGGGCGCCAGCCAGAGCTGGGAAGCATGATTTCGGGCTTTTCCGGCCTGGAACTCTCCAAAATCATGGTTCCCGCCATCCTCGGGGCCGCCGTGGGTCCCACGGGCGCCAGCCAGAGCCAGGAACCATGATTTCGGGCCTGGATCTCTCCAAAATCATGGTTCCCGCCATCCTCGGGACCGCCGTGGGCCCCAGGGGCGCCAGCCAGAGCTGGGAACCACGATTTCGGGCTTTTCCGGCCTGGATCTCTCCAAAATCGTGGTTCCCGCCATCCTCGGGGCCGCCGTGGGTCACAGGGGCGCCAGCCAGAGCCGGGAACCACGATTTCGGGCTTTTCCGGCCTGGATCTCTCCAAAATCGTGGTTCCCGCCATCCTCGGGGCCGCCGTGGGTCCCAGGGGCGCCAGCCAGAGCTGGGGCTTTTCCGGCCTGGATCTCTCCAAAATCGTGGTTCCCGCCATCCTCGGGGCCGCCGTGGGTCCCAGGGGCGCCAGCCAGAGCTGGGAACCACGATTTCGGGCTTTTCCGGCCTGGATCTCTCCAAAATCGTGGTTCCCGCCGCCGCCGTGGGTCCCAGGGGCGCCAGCCAGAGCTGGGAACCACGATTTCGGGTTGTCCGGCTTGGATCTCTCCCAAATCGTGGTTCCCGCCATCCTCGGGGCCGCCGTGGGTCCCAGGGGCGCCAGCCAGAGCTGGGAACCACGATTTCGGGCTTTTCCGGCCTGGATCTCTCCAAAATCATGGTTCCCGCCATCCTCGGGGCCGCCGTGGGCCCCAGGAGCGCCAGCCAGAGCTGGGAACCACTATTTCGGGCTTTTCCGGCCTGGATCTCTCCAAAATCATGGTTCCCGCCATCCTCGGGGCCGCCGTGGGTCCCAGGGGCGCCAGCCAGAGCTGGGATACCACGATTTTCGGGCTTTTCAGGCGGATTCTCCCAAATCGTGGTTCCCGCCATCCTCGGGGCCGCCGTGGGTCCCAGGGGCGCCAGCCAGAGCTGGGAACTACGATTTCGGGCTTTTCCGGCCTGGATCTCTCCAAAATCGTGGTTCCCGCCATCGTCGGGGCAGCCGTGGGTCCCAGGGGCGCCAGCCAGAGCTGGGAACAACGATTTCGGGCTTTTCCGGCCTGGATCTCTCCAAAATCGTGGTTCCCGCCATCCTCGGGGCCGCCGTGGGTCCCAGGGGCGCCAGCCAGAGCTGGGAACCCCGATTTCGGGCTTTTCCGGCCTGGATCTCTCCAAAATCGTAGTTCCCGCCACCCTCGGGGCCGCCGTGGGCCCCAGGGGCGCCAGCCAGAGCTGGGAACCACGATTTCGGGCTTTTCCGGCCTGGATCTCTCCAAAATCATGGTTCCCGCCATCCTCGGGGCCGCCGTGGGCCCCAGGGCGCCAGCCAGAGCTGGGAACCACGATTTCGGGCTTTTCCGGCCTGGATCTCTCCAAAATCATGGTTCCCGCCATCCTCGGGGCCGCCGTGGGTCCCAGGGGCGCCAGCCAGAGCCGGGAACCACGATTTCGGGATTTTCCGGCCTGGATCTCTCCAAAATCATGGTTCCCGCCATCCTCGGGGCCGCCGTGGGCCCCAGGGGCGCCAGCCAGAGCTGGGAACCGCGATTTCGGGCTTTTCCGGCCTGGATCTCTCCAAAATCATGGTTCCCGCCATCCTCGGGGCCGCCCTGGGTTCCCAGGGCGCCGCCAGAGCTGGGACACGATTCGGGGCCTTTTTCCGGCCGGATTCTTTCCAAAATATGAGTTCCCGCCATACCTCGGGGCCGCTCGGGGTCCAAGGGGCGCCAGCCAGAGCTGGAACCGCGATTTCGGGGCCTTTTACGGCCTGGATCTTTCCAAAAATCATGGTTCCCGCAATCCCGGGGGCCGCCGTGGGTCCCAGGGGCGCCAGCCAGAGCTGGGAACCACGATTTCGGGCTTTTCCGGCCTGGATCTCTCCAAAATCATGATTCCCGCCATCCTCGGGGCCGCCGTGGGTCCCAGGGGCGCCAACCAAAGCTGGGAACCGCGATTTCGGGCTTTTCCGGCCTGGATCTCTCCAAAATCAATGGTTCCGCCGTCCTCGGGCCGCCGTGGGTTCCCAAGGGGCGCCATCCAGAGTCTTTTTTTTTTTTTTTTTTTTGTTTTTTTTTGTTTTTTTCTTTTTTTTTTTTTTTTTTTTTTTTTTTTTTGTTTTTTTTTTTTTTTTTTTTTTTGTTTTGAGAATATTATCAAGAAGGCCCAAGGAGCCCATATCACGTAGATTTTCGGCAAGGTTTTGTGCCCGCCCTCTCCCTCCCATTTCGTCAAAACCGGAGGCCTCCAGACTTGGCTGCTCCTACTCGCTTCCTTTCGCTGCTCCCCCACTCCTCCTCCTCCTCCTCCTCCCTGCTCCTTCTCCTCCTCCTCCTTCCTTCCTCTCTCCTCCTCCTCCTCCTCCTCCTCCACCTCCTCCTCCCAAAATCCACCGCTTCAGGTTCTGGAATCACCTGGAACCGTTTAGGGGTGATTCTGGAAGCTTGACACTGACCGTTTCAGGTTCCAGAATCACCCTGGAACCGTTCCGGGGGGAAAACCCATCTGGAGCCATTTTGGGCTCCTTCCAGAAGGCCTTACTGAGCTCCTTGCAGAAAGCCTTATTGAGCTCCTTACAGAAGGCCTTACTGAGCTCCTTACAGAAGGCCTTATTGAGATCACTCCGGTTTCTTCGGCGTTCACTGCAGTACTGGATGGATGTCGCGCCCCCCCGCCGCCGCCATTTTGAACTGATTCTGGGCAGCGGGCCCGCCGCCAGTTTGCCCGCTGTCCCCCGCTGTGGTTTTTTATAGTGAAAGACGATCCAGCCCGCCGACGACGCCGCCCGCCGCCCGCCGACGCCGGGAAAGGTAAACGGAAGGGAGGAGGTAAGCAAAGATGAATCCTTTTTGCGTGGTTTGTTGAAATTTACGCAGATATTCATTTGGTAAACCCGGTTCGTTGTCAACATTTTCTGGGTGGGGAGTTGGCGATTTCATGTATATTTTGTTGTTGTTTTTGACCGTTCAAGTGAGATTTGTTTTTTGATTATAGGTTCCAGGAAAGAGTGCCAGCAGTGGTTATATATCATTGATATTTTACATACTGCATTTGAAATATGTTGCCAACCATTTTAAATGCTTACGGATTTAAAATTTTCCCGCCGCGACTTTGTTCATGGGAGTCCCGACTGACATGTTCGGATTGGATCGCCCCGCCGCCGTTTTTCCGCTCATGTCAGTGAGTGATTATGTATATTTGTCTCGCCGCCGATTTTTTTCTGATATGCAGTTCTTTCTTGTGGTAACGGCGTGATTTATTGAGCTCCTTACAGAAGGCCTTACTGAACTTCTTATAGAAGGCTTCATTGAGCTCCTTACAAAAGGCCCTATTGAGCTCCTTACAGAAGGCCTTATTGAGCTCCTTACAGAAGGCCTTATTGAGCGCTCCTTGAGTTCCCCCCTATGGCAAACCACTTGAAACCCAGAAAAACCACAGAGCAAACAAACATTAAAACCTCCCAGCGGTGGGTTCCAAGGGGTTTAGCCCGAATTGCGATTTGGAAGGTTGTGCCCGATCGTTCCTGGGAGCCCGCCGGAAAAATCACAGAAAAAATACGCGACCGAGGAACTCCACATTGCAGTGTTCCACACGAGTTTGTATTGCAGCTCACTTGTAAAGCCGTCCACCGTATGTGGCTACCTCTGCTCAAGCCTTTTTCGTACGCGAGCCCTCGCCGGCCCCGCGACGATCAGGACTGGTGCATGGTCGTCGGCCAGGTCGCCCAGGCAGCGATCCTCGGGGCGGCGAACATCGGCGGGGCCTGGCTGGGCCGCTGCCCCGCTTGCCCGCCGCAGCCGGGGTGCCCGGCGCCTGCGCTGAGCTGCCCACCAGTCTCGCTCACTTGCCCGGCGCCCCCGGCGCCGCCGGTGCTGACCTGCCCGCAGGTGACCTGCGCCGCTCCCGCGTGCCCGCCGTGCGAGGCGCCGGCGCGCGAGGACGTGACGCCTTGCCCCTCGCCGGCCCGCGAGGACGCGGGCGCCGACGGCCGCGTGTACGCCTGCCTGCCGCTGTGGGCCGTGGTGCTGATCGCGGCGGTGGCCTGGGGCTGCGGAGCCGGCTCGGTCGCCTGCCTGGCACAAGGGTGCGCTCGTCGAGGACAGCATGCTGGCCGTGGTGTCATCGTCCGACCTGGTGCCGGGGGACGTGATTCTAGTCCGCTACGCCGCGGACGATCTCTGGCATGAGCGTGTGCTGTGCTGGGCGCTGCCCGCCGACAAGAGCGGTGCCGTGCATTGGGTGGTGGCAACGCCCGATGGGGACATGTATGTGGAGACAATCGAGGGGGGCAGTCCCGACGACAGCCCGGTGGAATGGATCCGCCCGGCGGCCGACGGACGCCTCCCTGCTGGTTTCCAGGACGCCGTGTACTCTTTCCAGCGTGGCGAGATCGACGGGGCCCTCCTTGAGAAGTGCGTGAAGAAGGGTGCCACCATGGCGTTGAAGGGCGCCAAGGAGCACGGCGAGGCCCCTGTCTCCATGGCGCCGGGCGGACGGAGGGTGCCGATCGAGGACGTCGTAGGCGTGGGGTTCGTGCAGCCGGCGCTCCGAGACGGTGTCCCTGACGTTGCAGAGTCGGGTGGAGGCGTGGTGGCAGGGATTGCTACGCCTGGGACTGGCGTGTGGCGCGTGGTGGAAGAGGGCAACTCGTTGGGCTACGACGTGGGGCGTGAGGTGAAGCCCGTGATGGTCTACATCGGCTGCAAGGGCGTCTACTTGCCCGACGGCAAGGACGCGGTGTTCGTGGAGTTCAGTGACGAGGGCGAGGCTGACTTCGTCAAGAGAGTTGCACCGCGTCCTCGGCCCAAGGAGGCCCCAGCGCAGGACGCGCGCACGCTGGCCATCAAGTTCAACCCGCAAGGCCGAATGCGTGACTGGCGTGATGTGGTCGACAGCTGCCAACAGGAAGACTTCGAGGACTTCCCTGTGAGCGGCCCCCGCAGCATGAGCTGGTGCCTGCACTTCTTACGGCGGCGCCACACCCCTCTGGACCATCACCTGATGTTCCGCAGTACGTGCTCTCTGAAGCCTGAGCAGTGGGGCGTGGCCGAGCATGAGACTTTGTTGCGCATCATCGAGCTCGCGGGGCAATACGACCAATTGGACGTGACGAACCTAGCGTGCATGGAGGCGGCTGCACGCAGGGTGCAGACCATCGAGTGGGCCTACCACGATAAGATCAGGGAGACCGACGCGGGTTCCACCTCGAGGCTGTCCATCGAGGAGGCCACGGCCTTCTCGGGCCTCAGCCGTGCGGGGGACCTCATGATGGTGGCGCCCGCTCTCCTTGAGCACGCGAAGTTGCAAGTAGAGAAGGACGCGGCCATCATGAAGAACATCAGGAAGGCCAAGGAGGAGAGGGAGCTGAGGAGGAAGGACAACAAGGGCAACAACAAGGACAAGGAGAAGGGGTGAGAGCCCCCGGGGAGGAGGGGAGCCAGCATTGCCCTCCTGCCCCGACGCTACCTCCTGGCTTGCATCGTGCTGCACCTGCTGAAGGCTTAATTCATGGTCACCCTCCTCGGCTTGGGCCTCCCGGTTCAGATAAGCCAGTTCGGCCGCTGCGATCGGACGGCCCACGTCATCGGGACATTTTTCCTTTTCCTTATCCCGCCCAGAGTACTGCTGACTTGGACGCTTCGTTCTGCTCAGCGGCTACTGGCGACGACCGACCCCAGGCTCCCTGTCGGAGCGCGAGGCGTCGCATCCTGAGGCGCCAGGCCGTCGCCAGCTTAGCCAACCAGGCGATCTACACCCTCAACGACTTGGCAGGCGCCGAGCGGGGGTCTTCCGTCTCGCAGCCTGGCGAGGGGCGGGCCCCGCACGTGGTAGTGCAGCGACGTGTATATGCGGCCGCCGCGGCGATGGGCCCGCCGCCTGCTCTCTCGCCCTCGGGAGCCCTGCAGGAGCTCCGGGGGTGCACGGTGCACGAGGACGTCCAGTCCACCGTGGTGCCCTTCGACGACATGAAGGCCTCCCTGCCGATGAGCGGAAGTCGCCCCGCCCCCTTGGCAGATCTTTTTGGGGCCGGTGGTCAAGCTGAAGTCGACGGGTTTCTTGACTCTCATCTTCTCGAACCAGAAGCAGCCTCCTCCAACCTCAAGGGGGCCCCTCGGGGGACCTACATGGACGAGGTGCTTCGGAACTCTCCGCATGAATACCGACGGCTGGTCAAGAGGCTCGAGGGGGCCGGGATGATCGACTACGCCATCCAGCCGCAGGAGTTTTGTTCGCTCTTCTTCGTGAGGAAGAAAAACGGGAGCCAGCGGCTGGTCGTCGACTGCCGCCGCTCCAACTGCTGGTTCTCGGCCGCCGACCCCGTCGAGCTCAGCGCGGGAGCTGGCCTCGGGAACCTAGAGGTGCCGGACGGGGCGCGGCTGCGCGTCGGCCACGTGGACATCAAGGATGCCTTCTACCACTTCGAGCTGCCGGAGCGCGTGCGCAACTTGTTCGCGCCGCCGGCGGCGCCGGCCTGGATGGCTGGCCTTGCCGAGGTGGGCGGCGTGATAGTGAGCCCGGGCACCCCTGTATATCCGCGGCTTCGAGTGCACCCCATGGGTTGGCCACGCGCACTGCGGGTTTGTCAGACCTTGCATCGCCGCATCATCCAGGACATTCCGGGCCTCGAGCCGACCTCGTTTCTACACGGCCGAGGGCCAGCGCCTGCGACCACCCCCGCGTGCCACACCGTCTACGTTGACAATTTTTTGGCGCTGGGCACCTGCCGATCGACAGTCGAGCGGCTGGTGCGTCAGGTCGATGAAGCTCTGCAGTCCCGGGGCCTTCCGACACACGAGGTATCCACGAGCTCCTGGAGGAGGAGGTCCTTGGGTGGGAAATCAACGGAAGACTGGGCTTCATTCGACCGCGGCCTGAGCGTGCGTGGCGCATACGTCTTGCGCTGGACGGCTTGCTAGAATCGAGGAGGGTGTCCGCCCGCGACATCGAGAAAGTTGTGGGGCACTGCACCTTCCTAGCCCTCCTCAGTCGGACGTCGCTCTCCATCTTCCAGTCCGTCTACACCTTCATCGCTCGTCATCGCGACCACGGTACCGTGCCGCTCTGGGACTCTGTTCGCTGGGAGCTCGAGGCCTTCAGGAACGTCATTCCCTTGATTCGTTGTGATTTTGGGGCTCCGTGGAGTTCGAAGGTTATGGCATCAGACGCTTCTTTCTGGGGCTACGGCGTCGTCTCACGGGACCTCCCTCCGGACACAGTTCAACAACTAGGGCGTGTCAGTGAACGGTGGCGGTTCTCGGGTAAGGCTCAGGTCAGATCTCGTGAAGGGGTTCTGGGGCCTGACGGGGAGCTCGACATCGGCGACTGGGTGAAGAAGGTGGAGGAGGACAGTCAGGAGAGGGAGGACGCCCTTTCGGATCTGCCGGAGGTCTTGAAGGAGAGGGGGTGGGCGGTGCTGATGAGCAAGAAATGGGAGGTCCCCATCTTCAACATCGTTCAGGGAGAGGCTCGGGGCCTCACTGCTGCAGTAAAACATGTGTGCCGATCTATGAAGAATTTCGGACGTCGCCACCTTCTCATGTTGGATTCCCTCACGTGCGTACTGGCTCTGTGCAAAGGACGGTCATCCGCTCGGCGTCTGCGCCGCTCTCCGATCCGTGGCCGCCCATGGCCTTGCCACGGGCGCGGTCTTCTCGGGCCGCTGGTTCCCCAGCCAGTGGAACCATGCTGACGGGCCATCGCGGGGCCTCGGCCACTCTGGGCACGGAGGCGCCTCTGCTGGCAAGGTCGACGCCCGGAGCGACCACTGCGCCGCGGGTGACAGCTGCGGCGCCGCGTGGGGGCCCGAGGTCGCCCGCGCTCACCTACCCAGTGCGGGCCTGCCCAGTGCTGGGTCGGCGACGGCCGAGGGTGTCCTCGCCGCCGAGCGCGGCAACGGCAGGCTCTTGGCCGGGCCCGCCGCCTTGGCGCCCGTCGGGCCCTGCGAGGACATGCCCGCGGCTGCTGCGCAGCGCGGCCACCCAGCGGAAGGCGGCGCGGCGAGCGCTGCGGCTGCCGGTGGCAGGCCGACAGCGTTATCTGCAGGCTCGGTCCGTCCGGACCGAAGCAGTGCGCCGACGCTATTCGGAGTTCCTAGACGAGCTGGACCAGTGGCTCGGGCTCAGCGGCCTGAGTCGCAGGCCGTGCCCGAGCGGCCCCCTGGGTGCTGGGGCCGTGGGCCAGTTCGACCAGGACGTGAGCGACTGGATGAACGAGCAGTACATGGAGGGCTACGACCACTGGCGCGGGTCGAACCTGATGGCGGCGATCGCCTGGGCGGACCCTCGCCTGGGCCGCGTGGGGGGGCACGGGCTTCCCCTCTCGCGGCAGGCGCTGAAGGGCTGGCGAAACCTGACGCCGGCCGCCAGCCGCCTGCCGCTGCCAGCCGAGGTGGTGTTTGCCATCGCGATGGAGCTGATGGTGATGGACCGCTGGGACATGGCCTTGTGCACCATGCTGCCCCTCGTGTTCCTGATGAGACCCGGCGACTGGAGGACGGTGCGCGTCGAGCACCTGGCGCCGCCTGCTGTGGGTGGCAGTCGCGGGCTCGCCCGCTGGAGCCTGGTGCTGCACCCTTTGGAGGACGAGGGCAGCCTGCCGAGCAAGACGGGGGAGTTCGACGAGTCGCTGCTGCTGGACCTGGACGAGGACCAGTGGCTAGCGCCGCTTTGCCAGCGTCTCGTGCTCGGCCGCGACCCGCAGGAGCCCCTGTTCGCTTTCAGCCAGGCCGAGTTCGCGCGGTGCTTCAAGATGGCCGGCGCAAAGTTGCTGCTGCAGCGCCCTCCGCCGCCGTGCATCCTGCGGCACTCGGGCGCCAGCCGCGACTTCGCCGAGCAGCGCAGGACGCTGGTCGGGACGCAGCGCCGGGGGAGGTGGCGCACAGACGCGAGCGCCAGGCGCTACGAGGGAGGGGGCAGGCTGGGCAGCGAGTTCGCCAAGCTGCCGCTCTGCCTCCAGGGCCATGCACGCTGGTGCCTCAGGTACCTCCCCGCGGCGCTCTTCGGATCGCTGCGGCCACGCGGGTTCCGCGCCCTCTGAGGATGCGGATCTTCCTGGAGGTGTTCGCAGGCACTGCTCGGCTTGGCCGAGCGATGGCGGCGCAGGGTTTTCACGTGCTTGCCTGGGATGTGAAGTATGGCGACCAGTACGATCTCACCTCCCCTTCGAAGCGCTCACTGATTCGCGGGTGGATTCTTGGTCGTGCGATATTAGCTGTGCATTTCGGCGTCCCTTGCTCGTCGTGGTCTCGAGCGCGAGACATCCCCCCAGGCCCGCCGCCGCTGAGGTCCAACGATCTCGTCATGGGGCTCAGAGGCCTGTCTGCAGCTGACCAGGCCAAAGTCGATCTGGGAAACACCCTCGTGTCCTTCACCGCGTCGTGTTTGCATGTCTGTCGGAGGATGAGGATTTCGGGCACAATGGAGAACCCCGCCACCAGTTGGATTTGGCTTGCGCCTGCCGTCGTCTCCCTCGCTCGTAACTCCTCCTCTCAGGTTGTCTCAACCGACTTTTGCCAATTCGGGGCGCCCTGGCGTAAAAGGACCAAGTTTTTGGGCGTCCTGATTGATTTGGCCTTGATTGAAAAGCTGTGTAAAAGAAGGAATAATTTGTGCTCGGCCTCTCATAGGCCTCACCAGAACCTCCAGGGTAAAAACTCGGAGGGTCGGTTTTGGATAGAGGTGGCTGAACCATACCCTCCTCGGCTCTGTCGGGCGTTAGCGCTGGCCTTCTCTGATGCTCTCGTCGCGCTCAAGGCGCAAGGTATGGCCAGTCACCTCTGGTAGGTTAGTAGGTTTGAATCGTTTTCATGCGGCCCTCCGGGCCAGTGGACAAGTAAAGTTGGCTCTCTTTTCTGTCAGTGCGGATTTGGTGGCCGGCGCCCGCTCTCATATTTATGTGTATGTCGGCGCTTGCTGTCTCTCAGGTCCTGGCGGAAGTCGAGCCTCTCAGATAAAAAATTGTCCCTGGTCTCGGGGGGGTGGAATACATTGCAGTGTTCCACACGAGTTCGTATTGCAGCTCACTTGTAAAGCCGTCCACCGTATGTGGCTACCTCTGCTCAAGCCTCCCACCCGCGTACCACCCTGCTCTCACAGTGCTGCTCCCTAATGATCTGGTGGCCGGCGCCCGCTCTCATATTTATGTGTATGTCGGCGCTTGCTGTCTCTCAGGTCCTGGCGGAAGTTGAGCCTCTCAGATAAAAAATTGTCCCTGGTCTCGGGGGGTGGAATACATACTTATATTATTGATGATAGGTGAAGTGAAGCATGGTGGCCGTTGCCCCGCCGATACCGTTGGTGACGCCACTCAAGAGGAGAGGCGGGGAGGAGAAGCGCCGCGCCATCCACGCGTTGCGAGCCCGAAACAGATAGCGACCGCACCCCCAAAGCACCCCCTTGTGGGGTCGAGGAAGTGTCACGCCTGCCACGCTTTGCGAGCCCGAAGCGGATAGCGACCGCACCCCCAGCGCATTCCTTTCGGCGTCGAGAAGTTGCCGCGCCTGCAACGCTTTGCGAGCCCGGAACGGATAGCGACCGCACCCCCAGCGCACCCCCTGTGGCGTCGAGAAAGTGCCACGCCTGCCAACGCTTTGCGAGGCCGAAACGGATAGCGACCGCACCCCCGGCGCACCCCGTGTGGCATCGAGAAAAGACCGCGCCTGCCACGCGTTGCGACCCCGAAACGGATAGCGACCGTACCCCCAGCGCACCCCCTTCTGGCGTCGAGGAAGTGTCACGCTTGCCACGCTTTGCGCGGCCGAAACGGGTAGCGACCGCACCCCCAACGCACCCCCTGTGTCGTCCAGAGAGTGCCACGCCTGCCACACGTTGCGAGCCTGAAATGGATACCAACCGCACCCCCAGCGCACCCCCTTGTGGCGTCCAGAAAATGCCACGCCTGCCAGGCTTTGCGGCGGTGTCGCGGATTGAGAGACCACCCCTTGCGCACGCCCTTGTGGTGTCCAGAAAGTGCCACGCCTGCTTCCGTAGCCATTTTGGCTCAAGGCCGCTCGGGTCGAGGCGTGCCCATTGGCCTGCGGTCGCCGTCCAGCCCGTGCCTCGCAGCCCGCCTGGCGCGGCGCCATGCGCCCCGTGGTGCGGATGGCCTTCATGACGGCCACGGTGGTGAGCCTGCTGCCCCTCGCGCTCCTGAGCTCGCAGCGGTTGGCTGGCCTCCTGGAGCAGCCACCCGCTGCGGGCCCGCCCGCGGAGCGGCCGCCTCGGCCCGGGAGGGCGGCCGGCGCTGCGGGGCCAGAGGCGGCGCAGGCAGGAGGCGCGGGCTCGGCGGCAGGGCGCCCACCTCATCAGCATTGGCATGAGAGGGTTGCCGACAGCGTTGGGCCCGAGACGGTGCCGGAAGAGAGCGCGACCGCGTCGGCGCGGGAGAGGCTCCCGGAGGAGGGCCCACCCCGATCGGAGGGGTTTGCCGGCGCCGTGGGCCCCGAGGGCGCGCCAGAGCAGGGCGCGGGCTCGAGGGCGCGGGA